GTCAACACAACTACACTACACGTGCTTTCCATCAGCTTTTCATTCAAAAGTTTCCATAAGTTGTCATTACTTTAGAACTGTAAGAATAATTGATTCAATGTGAATGTAAATGTGACAGGTCATTTCACACTCATATTTCAACTATTAATAAATGTATGTTCTCAATTAGTAATAACTTTTTTTATAATTAATATAAAAATTGTACATTTTAATCATACAGTATTATGCCAATTAAAATATATATACCTAATTGTAATTATATTGTAAAGATTGATTGAATTCATTAAAAACTTGTGGATCTTTTGGCCTATTTTTAAATGTGATTTTCATGTTTTTAAATTTATTTATTTTACTTTTAGTTAATAATATTTATTTATTTTAAATATATAGTTGTGTAATATTTTGAGATAATGGATTATTGCTAATGAATATTGTTGCTCATCATTGAAAATACATATTTTAAATAAGGAAATGTTAAACAATGAGTCGATTATATTTTAATGTCATTTTCAAATATAACACAAATTAATAATCAAATAATTAATATTAATATAAGAGTTATTGTAATGTTTAGAAAATCACTTTTATTTTCCTCACTCTCTTCACTATTTACACAACAAAACCATTGAATTCATTGAATTTGTTTATTGAGTTGACTTTCGGCCAAATTTTATCTCACTTTCACTCAATTATTATTGCGATTATATTCTGTGATCTTATTTCATAGCCAAACAAATAGTATTAGGATATGATATGAAATGTGAAGCAAATATAGTTTGTTTGTTCAGTCATTTTATGGATAAATAGTGTATATTCTCTACATATTTGTCATTCATTCAAATCATATGAGCTTTTATGTCATTGAATCCAGAATTTCTCAATTCCTGACTTTTTTGTCATAAAAACAACTCAAATATAATGTGTTTGTATTACTATATAACATAAAGTGATAAACATTTAAATGTCATTAAATTATCGATCGGTATTTCCCATCACTTCCTCAGTGATACTCATGTCAAACACATAACACATAATGTCTTACGTATTGTCAAAATCGTTGCTTTTCTTACTTCTCATTCACTTTTGTTTCCTTCAAATTGATTGCAAATTCAAAAGAGTTTGTTATCTGAGAGCGGATCCCATTCAGAGAATAGACGTCCAGAGCATCAATGGCTCGCTTTGTACTCATCTTATACTAGGCTTTGCTGTTGTTATCAACGGAACCATAGCTCCACACGAAGCCAACGATGTCTTGTATTATGAAAATGTAACACAACTTAAGAAGAATTTCACGGATTTAAAGGTCATGCTATCGGTTGGGGGCGGAGGTATGGATGGATCCGGTCTTCACGAGGTCTGTTCCAACCAAACAAATATTGATCGGTTTGTATTGATAATGATTTTTGTGACTTTTATTTAATACCCAATTGTTCTCAGATTTGTTTCATCGGTTTTGGATCTACTCTTGAAATATAATTTGGACGGTTTGGACATAGGTATGAATTAAATGGTCAACAATTACCA